ATTGCTAACAATTCTTTTGGTTTACCTTGTGGCAGGGGGGCTTTTTCCTTTGAGTAGTGGAGATTGGTTTCTTGCAAAGGCAATTTCTATAAGCTCTCATAGTAATAGAAAGTGTGTAATATAACTTTAATGCTTAGTTAATGAAATAGAAAAGCACCAAACAAGCTGTGTTTATGTTGATGTGAATAAACAAAAGGTAGCTGTCCTTGCAGAGTGTGCTTTGGGAGACACGGATGTTTGCAGGTCGTGGTAATTGTGTCTGTTGGGTTAGAGCCCTATCACAGGATACAGAGAGAACTCAGGTGCTAGAGGTTCATCTCAGGAAGCTCAAGAGCCTTCAGTCCAACCAGGCTCTGGGTTACCCTTTGAGCTGCCAAGCTGCAGATGAGAATTGTGATCAGAACTGTGGCAGCCAATCTGAAGAATGCAAGTTCAGGAGAATCCAGTTTGAAAGCAGCACATGAAGTGGGGAAAACAAGAGGGAATCTGAAGTGGAAGTTAGTAGCAGTAGGCAGGAGCAAGTGAAAAAATCACAAGGTGCTGCCTGTGTTGGAAAGAACATAGAGTAGCAAGTAGCTGTCTCTAGGAAATAGCTTCTGGAAATCCTGCTTCCTGTACAACAAAAAAGCTTTTTCTCCATATGCATTGATGATCCCTACAGGATCTAAAGCTGTGGTGTGCATTAGGTTCCATTGACAGAGATCTAACCCTAGACGCATGCTTTGGCTTTTAACTTACAATGAATCTTAGTGATCTCCTTGCATTCAACCTGCAGTTGCTTTTAAGTGCATGGATTTGGAAAACGTCATTTAAAACAGCCTTTACTGATACATAGTTCACTTACTTGAAAGATAGGTTGGGAGTTTGAGCATCCAAGTCGTCTAGGCATGCTAGTTAAAACTCAGCAGGGATCTTCCAAAAAAGTAGCACCTACCTAGTTCTTCCAGAGTCAAAAAAACCCTTCTATCTTCTGAGCCTCTGAGCTGCTGAGAGAACAAAATATACTGGTTTATTTTCCATTTTTTATGTCTGGAGTGATAGTTCAGTGGTTATGGATTAAATAGAAAATATAACTGTTTTATTAAGAAGCTTTAATTGAAAACACTGTAGCAAAATGACAGGGCAGGCTTTAGTAAGTACAGATTCCTGTCAGTTTTAAAGCCTGTGTTCTTGATCAACTTTTTTGCAGAATACTGAGTGACTGAACACAGGCACACAGACACGCAAGTGAAGTGGAAAACAGAAGTAGCACAGCTGGTCACATGTATTAGGTGTTTACGTGCCTGGGTACACAAAGATCAGCATCACATCAAAAAGTTGGGCCGTAGTTGGTTGCCCTTTCTCCAAGGCCAGGATGAGACATGTACTAACTAACGAGAGCTATGGAGCTCTGGTCCAGACAGCATGTACGCTCCGCTTAGAATGTTGGAGAATGTATTAATACAAAGAGAACAGTAACAAGAAAGCTTCTCTAACTGTTTGTCTTATGTCTTTGTAGGTGTGGATGAGGTCACCATCATCAACATCCTGACAAACCGCAGCAATGAACAGAGGCAGGATATTGCTTTTGCCTATCAGAGGAGAACCAAAAAGGTAGCAAAATATGAAGAAATACCAAGTAATTAATATTTTTCTTGTGGACAGTTAGATGTTTTTCAGGGCTTGTGTGTTTCACAGTTAACTGGGTGTAAGCTGGAGATGAGTGTTATTTGGTTTATCTTTTCACTGAGGTTAAAGATGCGTCTACTCTGTCCATGCTGTCACAGTTTAGGGCTGGTGGGACTTCCAGATTTGTTGCGTATGCACAACTGGGACTGAAATCTGTTGGAGGTGGTGGTTTCCTAGCACCTTCAGAAATCACAATGGGTGACGTATCAGCCAGCCACAGGATTCCCTGGTGAAATATAAACAACAGTGGAAAGCCATTGACATCAAATGCCTCAGTTTGAAGGAAGAGATGAAAGGGAGATGCTTTAGGGGATTGAGTTTAGGGGTTTTTTTGTTTTGTTTTTTTTTGTTGTTAAGAAAACTCAGCATAAGGAAAATATTCTGCTTCTGTTCACAGAGCGAGCTTAAAAGAGAAAAGACTGCAGTCAGTTGTGCTAGAAATGCTGCAGATGTGGAATAAAGGGATATAATGAGTTGAACTATCGCTAGATGTTATCTCATCAGAAATACCTTAGGTACTGATCTGTTGATGGAGAGGAATCTGTAACATGTGTGCAAAATTCTGCATAATGAGTCTTACTATCTGGAAGGCAAGAGCTGTTCTCTTGACTTTTGAAGTTTTGAGAATCTTACCATAATTGAAGTTTTATGCCCATGAAAACCAGGAAATTTCTGTAGAGGTAGGATTATGATAAATGTATCTCTTGCAGGTTTGCCAGACCCCAAATGGTAGTCCTCCGATAGCAGCCCAGAATGCTCATCTGAAACCCAATGTAAATCTGAATTTTGGAAGCACACCACCTTCTATGCGTGGCTGATACAGGCACATGCAGAAGCACGCACAAGTTGACGCATGTGTGCGCGCACATGTCTGCACCCTGGCCGTCCCTCCATGTGGGCACTGGGAGAATTTTGCATAGGGGTGGACCCTAGTAGTGAGATGTGTCACTTAAAGCTTTGTTAGATGTTTTGCATGACCACAAAAACACAGTCAAGAAAATCTGCAACTTTTTTCACCTGTTTCTCTTTCACCTTTTTTTTCCTTGCCAAGACCCTAGAGCAAACTGGATTTATCAAGCTTAATGAGTGCCAAAGAATAAACAGCCTGTAGAGACTATGGATTTGCAGAGAAACCACTCGGTGAAATAAAGAAGTGAGTGGCAAGAGAGGAGGGAGTGGGGTATGAAAAGAGGTGTAGGTATATATCTTCTAGGGACAGTATCTCCTGGTTTTCTTTGGCAACGGATTGTGCAGATTTCTTTGGCCCTGTGTTGTGTGGTACAAGGCTGCTTGTTTTGTGTGTTGCAGGGTTTCTCAATAGATCATTATAATATTTAAAAGTTGCAGATCTACCTCTAGTTTCATTCCTTTGAGCTCAGCTGTGTCTAATGGAAACTTGGTAATCTTGAGGAGTGATGTTTGATCTGTGTAAACTTTCCCCATCACCAGCATTAATGGAGCTACCAGTGAGTACTGGGAGTTCTGCACATGTGTCTTCGTACGGGTCTGGTCAGTCCTAACTGCCACCAATAATCCCTAACTTTGACATGAATTGCTAATATCCAGATGCTCATTTGGAACACTCAGTAAAACCTTTTCTGTTTGGTGTCTATAAATTAATGATATCTGTCAGTGATCTGCTTCCCACTTCTCTCTTAGAACGCTCCTAGCCATGGCAAAGAATGGTGGAGTGGAGACCCTGCTTTCCTGGCAGGAGGAGAAGACTCTGATTTCTCTGGAAGCCTCCTAATATGAGGGCAGGTGCTTGGTTCAGTTTGAGGTGTTCTGTTGCAGTTATTTTGGTAATTCCTACCATAGTGGTTGGTATTTCCTTCAGCCTTCACACCAAAGTGCAAAGACTGCAAAAAAAACAACTTCACTCAGCTAATTGGAATTCATAGCATTGTCCTAAAATTTATTATAGAGATATGCAGCATCTTTGCTGTTTCAGCTGATGTCTGAAGAATCTGTTTTCACACAAATAAATGATGGAACATTGTAATCAAAATTTGAGTTATTGTACTAAAATGTTCCTCAGACTAAAGCAGCTAGATGCCCAAACCCCCCATTCACAATCTTGGTCAATCTATGCAGTAAGTGCATACAGTATTAGCATGTATTAGTGCCCTGGATTGAATGAGTGACTCTGGAAACAAAGTGCCTTGGCTCTTTGTGTCTCGTACAAACTTTTGATATTTTGCTGAGGTCACTTTCTCTACCTCCTTTTCCCCTGCCCCTCAAGCTTACACGTTGTTAATGTAGAAACCAGCAATTGAAATGCAGCAATTCTCTTCTGCGTTCTGCAGTCTTACTTCAGCTTAGGGAATACATTGATCTGTGTGAACCCCAGACTGGATCCCAGGGATTTCAGCTTTGTGAGTGCGCTACAATGAAGCTGATAATGAGCATTATTCAAGTTCCATCTGAAACGCGTAAAAGAGGACATGCTTCTGACTTTATTTGCTACAGATTTGTATGTGTCCTGTGAAGTGAACATACCTGACCGTTTCTTTCTCTAGGATTGACTGACAATTAACAATAGAGACTTTGGCTACACTCCTCTGATAGCTTCCTTGAAGACAGGGATAATTTTTCCATGCTGAGGGATGATTTTTTTTCTGTTCAGCTAGCTGTTTGGGAACTGGGCCTGTACAGTGGAATAACTGTGCAGTCAATTTTCCACTGTCTCAGCTAGTGAAGGTCTGGGATAATAGGAAAAACACAAATAATACAGTGCTACTGGGAAAACTATGGGAGCATGATGGAGAAGCACTGACCGCATGGGAGTCAAACTCAGATCCATCTGTGCTTATTAACTCCAACAAAGTGTCAGTCCTTCAAGACTGGAGTGGAGCTGTTCAGATGTGTCTGCACCATGCTTCCCAGCACTTTGTCAGCCACCAGTGGATTTCTTCTTATTTTCAAAGGATGGGAAAAAATTCCTTTGCCCTGATTTCTTTTAGGCTTTCACAAAGGAAAAGCTCTTTATGTTCTGTTTCCTTGTCAGTTGTGCAAGAAACACTGTTGCAGGCTTGGAGACTTACAGGCTAAATTCTCTGGAGATCAGAAATGAGCTGTAGGTTTTTTTTTTCCATCATCCCTCCCTTTTTACAGGAACTCTCTGCAGCGCTGAAGTCTGCTCTGTCAGGTCATTTGGAGGCAGTGATCTTGGGCTTGCTGAAGACACCGGCACAGTATGATGCCTCTGAATTGAAAGCTGCCATGAAGGTAAATGAGCTTTGAAATTTAAGTGTGTTAGTCTGATGTCACTGTCTTAAGAATGAGTATGGTCTTAATATCGAAGGCCACAGTTTTCACACATGTCCACCGATTATTATGGTTTTTAGTAATACAGTTTTAAGTGTCCAGCTGCAAGGCATCCAAAATGAGAGAAATTCTGGAACCATGTGATAATTAAATCATCTCTTTAAGGAAAAAAAATAATTTTCATCAGGTCAGCAATAACTGGTAGGATGCTCTGGCTTGTTGCTGTTTTGCTGACTGATCTTAAAAACAATAGATAGGTTCACAGTACAAAAAAAATCATTAAGAGAGCTGGAACCATTAAATCCTGTGCTAGCATTTATTATAGGCTTAAACAGTAGTTTCCAGTCACTGATCTTGAAAGAACATCCTGTACTGGACCTCCTCTGTGTAGAACACAAGGAGGACGGGGCATCAAAAGCAGTCTTTGGAGAAACCGCAGCAGTGAGTCGCTCTGTTCAGTCCCCTGCAATCACAGGCAAGCGTGGCAGAGGTTGCTAGTTCAGAAATAGCCACTCTGCAGGTCACTGAAACGAGACTTTGAGAGGTGCTCATGCCAGTGCATTCACTTTTCTAAGCAAACTAGTATTTCAGAATGTTTATTTATAATCATCACTTAAATCTGAATGTTCTTGATATGGTTAATTTTTTTTTGGTAAATAATTAAAAACCAGTGTCTTTTGAAACTCAGAACAAGACAAAAAAACCCAATTAATTAATTTCTCCAGACTATGAAAGAGGGGTTAAAAAACAAACAAGCAAGCACCCCCACACCCCAAAAAAAGAAAACCTCAAACCCAAAAAACCAACCCGGTATAGAGATGGTAACTCGTTAATTATGGGCCAAATTCCTTCTTTGCGTAATCAGATGCTGCCATCTTCTGGTTTAAGTAGAGGCTATCCATAATTTACTGTGAATCAGATTAGTTGGTTTGGGTTTTTCTTGTTGGTGGTTGGTTTTGGTTTTTTTTAATGTCTTACATCTGAATGTATATTATACATTCATAAATACAATACATAAATATGTTATATTTAGGATAACCATATACTTCTATAGCATTTATGCTGTATTTGCAGCCCAGAGACCAAGCCGTTACCTCAGAGTAGCCACAAATGTAGAACATCCTATTCTTTCCATAGGTCAGCCGTTCCCAACTCCCAGGCGCCTAGTCTGATGTTCTGAATTTGCCTGAACTTAAGTTTGACTTGATAAGTAGAGCATAATAAACTATGGCATGGGAATCAAAGTTGGGTAAAGCAGAGTTACCATTGAGGAGGTAATTATTTTTCTGCTACGTATTTAAAAAATATTTAGAAAATCTTGAATTTTGTTAGCCTTCATTTCTTCCCCAGATACCTATTACAACCACTCTGTGGAAAGCGTTCCTAATTCTCTAGCTGTGAGCCATTTTTATAAAATTGCTCAGTTTTAGTCCTCTTTTTTTTTTTTTTTTTTTTTTTTCCTTCCCCTTCAGTAGAGACTTTTTCCAAGAGGGTAGTTTTCCACATAATTACCTCAGTTTTCCACATGTGAAAGACTGCAGCATGAGAAGTTTTCCCAAGATTTTACCTAGCAGACTCCTCTTGGAGTCCTGTGGAAACCATGCCCTTTTTTGCCACATACAGAATGACATTCTGTTACAGATGGGCTTAACAAACAGCATCCTAACAGGAGGCGTAAGAGTGGGTTTTGTTCAGTCTGCTGGTGATACTTCAAGATGAGTGTAATGAGATTAGCATCAACGTGGTTTATTGGTAGGTAAGAAACAAAGTGGAATGAAAAAATCACCAGTGGAAACTACTTTCTGAAAAGTTTCTTTTCAAAATATTGAGGCATCTGGCTGTTAGATGGCTTTACCAACTGGTAACCCAGACATCCGTAGTGGTCACTGAGAAGGGAAGCATCTTCAGCTCATCCAAGTTAGTCTTCTGTTCTGAGTCTGTCCTTTAGAATTTCCTATCTTCCTCCAGGAGCAAGAGTGCTGTTGTTTACTGTTCTTAATTTTGCTGTTTATATAAAATAATTGAACAAGGTCTAGAGCACATTGATCAAGCCACATTACTTTGGAGTATCTGAGTTACTATAAGGTTTAATTGATAGTTGATACATTTTGGTGTGGTTTGTAATTTTGTTACAGTGCTAATACCTGTATTAGTTTTTAAACAGTAGTAATGTAGCTTAGTTCAAACTACTAATTTTCTTAACTGACCTTGATCACAAAAGTGGCTCTGAAATACATAAGACCTCTCAATTCATTTAGCTTGTTTAAAAACATTAAAGTCTAAATATTTAGTTTATCATACTAAATACATTTTTATTTCTTAATATAGCTAATAGTAATATATTAATCTGTATTTGTGCATTGCGAAGTACATGGAAAATACGGACAATTAGAGAGGGGCTGTTTGTTAGCTAGAAATTCAGAACATGCTTAACACTTTGCTGACTTGGAGACAAGGCCAAGGCTAATGATGGTGTCATCCTTGGCTTTGCGTTTATAGTGAAGGAATTGTATGGAGGAGGTGGGGAAGAAAAGCAGGGAAGTACAAGTTGATTGCTGCCCGTTTGCATGCTAAGAATTGGATTTGCTTCCTGTGCTCTCGGTGGACAGAAAACAATCGTACATGGGCCATGATAGGTTGATCTCCTCCAGTTGTGCTGGTGGGGAGGCCACTGAGTGTTACAGATACTCACAGCAAGTGCACATTGCCCACAGATATCTGCAGAATCTCAAAGCTATTGGAGTAGTATTTGGCAACTAAAAATGTTTCCTCTGGGCTTTCTCAGGTGCAGTTAGCAAAAAATATCCCTGAAGAGTTGTGAAACTGTTAGAGTGTGAGATAGGAAACATCTGTAAAATATTTTTAAACAATTCAAGCATGCCTGTTGATTTCTAGCACCTAACTGAATCATATGTGTGTTGCAGGGTCTGGGAACTGATGAAGACACACTCATTGAAATCATCTGCTCGCGAACAAATCAGGAGCTTAGTGAAATCAACAGAGTCTACAGGGAAAGTAAGTTTACTTTGAAAGTTAGTGTACTATGTTTTTACACCAAGTTACTTGGATAAGTTCCTCTCAGTGTGAATTGGTTTATTAGAGTCACTTATACAACACCTGCTTTGATTCTCTGGCAGTTAGACATAAGATACTGGTGTCCTGGATATTTGTCTCTGTTTGTATAGTTTCCTCTTGTTGCTTGGTAACAAACAAATTACTACTCAGGTAAGTGATAAGTTGTGTCTAACTGAGGCGTTTGGGTTTTTTTTGTAAGATACGTGCATTCTGTGCAGAGTGACAGAATTAATGATGTTAGATTTGCGGATTCTAGGATCAGTTATGTAATAAGTAGGTGAATCTGAAATCTACCGAAGCATGCTTGTAAGTTTATTTGGTAGACCTGCCAGAAAAGACATGAAATAAAACTTTATAAAAGCATATATTATGTTTTCCAACTTTTTTAAAGCATGTTACCTGATTGAAGCTATAATTCTTAGTTGGTCAGAAGTAGATATAAGAATGATCTAAGATCCATCCTCAAAAAATATTATTTTTCCTTTAATATGCCTTATATTTTTAGATTGGCCATTCTAGTTGAGTTGCAATTCAGTAGTGTAGCTGTCTGGTGACTGCTTGTTTCCTTGAGCTTCAGAGTTGAGCTTCAGCACAAATAGACTGAAGTGTAGAAAATTGCTGTGTGCTAATGCTTAATATCTGTCAAGCAATTCTGGTAAGGTGCTGGCTAAGTCAAAAAGAACAGGCAAAACCAGTGTAGTCTTAGTGGCTGGTATTGAGGAAAAAAAAAAAAGTGTGATCAAAGGAAATGCTGCTGTAGATTAGGATGCTGTTGAAAAGAAGAGAGAACGTGATTTTGTAGCAATATAGAGTATGACTACTTGGAAAGCATAAAAACGTTTATAGACACCAGACCAGAATCACACACAGCATTCCTTTGATTTATCATAGCAGCTTTTGTCTTTTGCATTAAACTTGTAATTGCAGTTGTCCCGTCGTAAATCCACAAGTGGAGAAGGCCTAAATGCTATGTTTATCCAATAAGCAAACATTCATTGGTAGCTAAGAATGATCAAACAGTATATTGAGCTTAAAACAATATTCCTTTCCCTTTCATAGTCTCAGGCTTTCCTGTTATCTTCCCATGACAGTCTGAATGATTGCATGGGAAGTCTCATGACTAGCTGGCAGCAACGTAGGTTTTGTATGCAAGCATGCATTTGTTTTCATTGCCGTCCACCTGTGACTTAGATTGTAGCTGTTTGCTTATGTGCATAAAACACAGTAATTAGCAGCTGTTCTTCTTGCAAAGGGGTACTTGCAGGACAACTTTTACTTGAAAAGAATTTCTTGTTTTCTAGTGTACAAGACAGAACTGGAAAAGGACATTATATCAGACACATCTGGTGACTTCCGCAAGCTAATGGTTGCCCTCGCCAAGGTAGGTCTGTTCATGTTTTTCCACTGTAACTGGTGTGCCTGCCTTTTAGTAACTGACTGATGGTTACCAGTAAAACAATTGGATTTCTGATTCACTTTTAAATTTCCTTGTATTTTCACTGTCTTTTGGGGAAAAAGAATATTTAGAACTTGAAGGGTGAAGTATTTTGGCAGAAATGCAACGTTCATGGCATCAGCTTCATAATGGGGGACAGAGAATTCTGTTACTCATTTAGCAAATTCAGATTAAAAAAATCAAAGAAAAGAATATGCATATAGCAAACTGCTTACTCTCTATTAAACCTCTTCTAAATGCTGCTATCCGTGTTCAAAGGGCAAAAGGTGTGAAGATACCTCTGTGATTGATTATGAGCTGATTGATCAAGATGCTAGGGTAAGTGCTGGTAATGTCTTAAGTGATCAAACTTTTGGGCATGTTGAAAGTGCACATCCTATGGGAGTGAGAAGCATTTATGGAAGTGTATTTCAGATTGTCTTGCAGAGAAATGTTTGCGTGCTGTCAAGGTATCTGCCACTTGCAATCCTGATACCTTCAGTTACCAGTTTCCACAGGCTGCTTACCCACTAGTAGCTATAGTGAAGCTCTCTGGTGTTTCCCTTAGGCATATTGAGTGAGAGAGCCTTTAATCAAAGGAAACACATTGCGAAGATTGGTTGGAACCAAGTAGTTGTGTAAGATTGAGAGAAGTATCATTGAACTTAGTGGCTGCTAAGGCTTATTACATCTGTACCTGTCAAGAGCAGCTCTTGCTGAGGTAAACAGAGCTAAGTACAGAGTAAAACCTGTAGACAGAGGTAAATACAAAGTAATTAGTTCTAGTTTCAGATTAGATCCATAGATCTTGCCCTGGTGGTCTGCCCAGTCACGTGTTCTTTTGTGTTTCTCCCACTGACACAGTTCCAGTAGTGCTTCTTTTCCACTAAGGAAGTTGTATACATTTGTGATGGCTTCTTGTGTAACTCCCTATTTTCATTATTTTGCTTTTCATTCATAACCCCAGGAGCTCTATGATGCTGGTGTGAAGAGAAAGGGAACCGATGTCCCCAAGTGGATCAACATTATGACTGAAAGAAGTGTCCCTCACCTGCAGAAAGGTACTATTTAAGAGACAGATTTATGGTTTTCCTATAAGAGAAAATGATACCGAAGTGGTAACTGTTTTGTGCTAAATATGATTGAAATGAGTGTGAAAAGCCCTCGTAGAACATAGGGGATATCATAAATCTTAATTCATGTCCAGGCTGTTAATTTTTTTTAAAAAATACAATTATTTCTGTGGATGTGTTCATCTCACAGTTTGAATGTGTGTAGAGCTCTTTTTTGCAGAGGTGTAACACTGCTCAGATACACTGAGAACAAAAATGTTACGAATCTAGAAAACATGGTTGCAGGACACATTGAAAACTCCTTTTCAGGACTTCAGACAGCTTTTCCCTCTGTCCTAGGGTAGCGTAGCTATATCTGACAGTGAAGACTCTTAAAAGCAGCTCTGATATTGCTTCTTAAAGCACATGGGAAAGCCATTTGAAGACTTTTCTTTTCAGGGCCTAAATCACTGTTTCAAAAAATACTGGGACAGGATTAAGATGGTATTTTACCTGATTATGAAGGCGTTCAAGGAAAACAGAAAGGCCACAGCATGGGAACTTTATATTTGCTGACAAACTTAGGCTGTAATTAAGGTAAAGTCCTCAGAAGGACTTGGACAGATATTCTTTAATCATGTGTCTCTGCATTGCTGTTCTGATTTGCGTGATCTGGTTTACATTTCACCTGTTTTCTTTCTTGTGATAGTGTTTGACAGGTACAAGAGCTACAGCCCATATGATATGTTGGAGAGCATCAAGAAGGAAGTTAAAGGAGATTTGGAGAATGCCTTCCTTAATCTTGGTGAGTTACTCTTAGATAGGATCCTTTCGGTGCTCTTGCAGTATATTGTGATAAGGATAGGGCCCAGCAACACAGAGGAAGCTGAGAGAAATAAAACTGGAGAAATAAACTGGATGTGCTGGCATTATTGGATCCACTAGTGTATTTTAGGATATTACAGGTAATGAGAAGTAGCATATTTTTGCCATCTGCAAAATACAAACCTTGCTTTCCGGTTGAAATTAAAAATGCATGTGTTTTGTGATCTGTTGTTAATTCCAGTTTTGGTTCATACAGAGGCTTAATGTTTGTTTCCCCAAACAATCAAAAAGGTTGGAACTAAGCTGAACCCTTGTAAGTATTCAATATAGACATAGGCCAGAGAGAGAACAGTGTGTGTGTGTGTGTGAGAGAAGACGAGCAGTGAAGCACGCTAGAGGCTAATAAAAGAGCTGATTTGGCACTGAATCCTCTGAAATGGGGAAGCAGGGTGTAAGACTGGTACTGTGGCATGAGATGAAGATGACAAGGATGTTGCCAGGTTTAAGAGGGAATTCTTCTAAGAGGAAAATCCATTTCAGACTAAGGGTGAAGTGAGAGCTCTGTAATGCAAATGGAGAATAAAGAGAGCTCAGCCTTGAAAGGGAGACCTCTCATGGATTAGCATACAATGAGTGTTTTCAGAAGAGAGGTTGCTTAGAGAAGTGGAAGAATGAATTGTGGTATGTGTGGAGGAGGGCTAGCATTCTGAAATGGTACTAGTGGCGGAGGGAAGTACTTTCTCAGATCATAAGCATTTGTGGTTCAATCACAAGCTTAGCGAAACAACTTCTAAGTAACCACTCAGGTAAAAATAATTTCTCTGTGTCCCCTTTTGGAGAAACTTTTGCTGAAAACCTTAGACTATTTACCACGTCTTTAAAAAAGGCTCCAAGATTCTATGTTCTGCTGTTCTGTATGGGCAGGATGATTAACTGTTCTTATCTCTCCAGTCCAGTGCATTCAGAACAAGCAGCTGTATTTTGCGGACAGACTGTATGATTCCATGAAGGTAGGGAAGACTGTTCTTTCTTTCTACTTTTTTTTTTTTCCTTGCCATTGTTTCATCAAATTTTGATTCCTTAGGCACTTTTATTCATATGGGGTGTGACTGGCATGTGAATAAAATTAACAATGAGTTAGTATTGTTCAAAAGCATTCTTTAACAGTTATGAGCCTAGACCATCTAGGTACACAGAAATACAGGGAGGGGTCTCATAATGATCTGTGTTAGATCCGTTGGTTATCGTTAGCAAAGGTAGACACATCTTTTGCAGGTAACAAAGAGCTGATGGGGAAAAGGCTATTTATTGAAGTGCCAACATAAGACACTAAATTTGCCTCAAAACATTTTCTCAAGAAAAGGAGTGAAAGAGAAATGCCTGGTGGCAGGTATCAGGCAATATCAGGAAGACCTCCTGGTGAACCTGAACTGCTGCTTACAGTCTAAGTAGCTAGATTTGTAACTGGAAGTTGGTCAAAGACTGCTGATGAGAAAGGTATGTTCATGCTCAAATTTCTGAATCATAATAATGACCTTAGTGAGAAGATGTAATTAATTGTATCTTTTATTGCTACATCTCAGTTGTCTGTAGTTTGCTCTTACCACTAGGTATGGTGGCCTTTTATGCATTTCAGCTATTACGGTTCTAAATGTGTATCTGCTTGTAGGGCAAGGGAACCCGCGACAAGGTTCTGATCAGGATTATGGTTTCCCGCTGTGAGGTTGACATGCTGAAAATTAAGAGTGAATTCAAGAGGAAATACGGAAAATCTCTTTATTATTTCATCCAGGTAAGTTTTTCAGCTTTCTTTTTATATCAATCGTATGAACCTTTGCAGCAGTCTTAATTGGATTAATTGTACCATTAGAATTCATGGGAGGTGTTTTAGAGGCTGCAGTGAGAATAATATGTTATTATTCATGCACTGTTGAAAAACGTAACTTTAACTTTACAGCCTACAGCTGGTACAACTCCTGACAGCCACTTTGATGCTATATGTAGGCTTTGTGCAATCAGCTGATGTGTTACAACGAAAATGCTCTTCACGTGTCCCTATCCTCAGACCAAAAGAAATGAAAAAACAGAATTGCTTTGTGATTGCTGAATGAAGATAGAGCATCTAATCCCTAATCCCTGCTCCCTGTCATTTCAGTGCCCAAGGAGTAGGCTTTTTCACTAATGATTTTTGTCCGTTTCTGTGATTGGGTAGGTGCTATAGGTGCTAGGTTTTATTTAACTTGGGGCATAGGTAAAGAGCTTGTGCATCTGTTTAAAAACTAGTCTTCTACCCACCCTCACAACAGCATATGATGCATTCTTCCTCATGTAGATGAAGTTGAGTCAGAATCTTAAGGCAGAATCTTTCCCTGAAGATGTTGATTTTAGATAATAAGCAAATTCTCAAAACAGTGAACTTGATGTACAATTTTTGCAGTGATCAGTGAGAAGTAACAGAATCGAGTCCTTCAGCTTTCCTTTGTTGTGTTACTCTTTTTCATATCAAAATTTGTCTCCCTTCTTGGCATTGTATTTGTATTGCAAGAATGAGAAGTGATCTGAATTTGCACATAGGTAAGACTTGGTCTACATAGTCTCCTCCAGTCTGACAAGGTTTCAACTGCAAAACATACTCTGTCCCATTGTTTTAGAATGTAGTGCATATACTTTCATATTTTGTGACTGTTTCCTCATATGTGTTTTGTATTTTTCCTTCCTTGCTTTACAGCAAGACACAAAAGGGGATTACCAGAGGGCACTGCTGAACTTGTGTGGCGGAGAGGACTAAAAACTGTGATGGAAGAAACTCGAATCCAGACATGCCTTTTTTGCTCTTCGTTTTACTGTAATCGTAGAAAAAAATTGACTTACCTAGCTAACCTTGGCTTGCCTTTGTATCTGCAAGACCACCAATGTAGTACGCTTTACGGTGGTGTGCGCACTTCTCTCAGCAGCAGTGCTCTGCTTGGCTCTGCCAAAGGTCCTAACAGCATATAGCCAGAGAAACTAACCTTCCAAGGATAAATGAGGTTACCAGTGCTTGTGAAAGACTCTGCCTCTCTGTGCGATGTTTCTAATAAAACATAAATAAAACTGAAGTTTTACTTTAAGACAACGAGTTGCTTTCAGACCTTTAACTTGAAAACTGTGTGAACAAATGATATGTACTTACCCCTCGCTATCCATCTTCTGTGTTGTTTTTTCCTCCCAGGGTTCACTACTTGGGGCTGAAACCTTATCTTCCTCCCTCAAAGCCCTTCCCCTGTTTAATGGTTCAATTTCTCAGCAGAAGCAAAACCATTCTCTTGATGATTCTTACTCCACTCCCACCCCCTTACCCCAATAAGTGAACTAAAAACCTGAGCCCCACCCTTCAGTGCCTGTGCGAGGGGCAAACACTTTTGAATCTCTTAAACGTGTAAATGTTTTCTGTGCCTGTGTGCAAGGGGCAAATATTTTTGAGTCCCTCTTTTTAAACAGCCTGTCTGTAAGCTGAGCGTTCCTTCAGCAGCCCCGGCGCTAGGCCGTGCTGCGTACGTGTGGCGGGCCAGGCCGGGAAGCCAGGAGGAACGAAGTGGGTGCTGCTTGTTTTAGTGAGGGGGGAGTTTCCCGCCTTTCTTCTTCCCGCCCTCCCCTTTCCCCTGAGAGCAGGCTCGGGCGGAGGCAGGGGCTACCTTTGCACCTTGCTTGG